TGCGCCGCAGCCCCTCGGGCCGCGCGGGCCCCAGCATGCACTGCGCGCTCCCACGTGGCCGGCCGCGCGTTGTGGGGTGCGCAGGGCCCGAGGGCTCGGGACCAGGGGGTCCTCACCTGCATTTGTGATTAGAATCACATTAGGAGCATTTAAAAGCAAGCCTGAACGCCGCCCCATACCGAAAAAGCGGAACCGGGACTTAGGACCCATGATGCGTTCGGCTGGTACTTTCGTGGATTCAAGTCTGAGAGCTGCTGCTGCTTTACTGCGCCCTAGAGGCAAAAGCAAGGGAAGGAAACCACCTACTGTTTCTCCCCCCAGGTGGAGGAGTGCGTGCTGAATCTGGGCAAGTTCCACAACATCGTTCGTCTCGTGGCCTTTTGTCCCTTTTCCTCGTCTCAGGTTGCCTTGGAAAATGCCAACGCTGTGTCTGAAGGTGAGTTGGCCACTGAGTATTTTAGAGAGAGAAGCCGAGATGTAGTTTCTGCCACTCTTGTCCTCCTAGGCTAGGGAGCTTGTGATAATACCCAGTGGTACCTGATGTGAACAGGTTGTAATTTTAAATAGCCTTCACAGAGCTCAAGGTCTGGTGAATATGACTAAATGTTACATTTAAAGTGCACAATCCAAGATGTATAGGCTTTATTTCCTGAGGGCACTGTAATAAGTGGCTTTTTAAAAATTTTTTTAAATTTTAGTTTTGGGGGGATAGGTAATTAGGTTTATTTTTTAATGCAGGTACTGGTGATTGAATCCAGGACCTTGGGCATGCTAGGCATGCACTCTTATCACCAACCTATACCCTCGCCCTGATAAGTGATGCTTAAATGAAATCTCGTAGCTGGCAGAGGCTGGTAGGCTAAATCCAATCATGTAGTTCTCTACTTCTCTGTTAAATTGACTGGAAAGGGTGATTTTGATACCAAAAGCCAAGAGAAAGAGGTTAGGTCCTAGAAGGCAAATTGGATACTGACTACTTTGTACTGTAGGTATGCTTTAAGCTTTCATACTTCCGTTACTAGGCCAGAATCCTTTTCTTCCTGTGCAGGCTTTGCAGTGATGACGTGAATCTGTCAATCCCCTGAGTGTAATCACTGATGTCTCCATGTCTCTGAGCAAAGCCTGAAGGGGAGGGATATAGGCATGCCATCCTAGCATGCTCTGTGAGACCAATGTCAGATAGGTCTCTCAATCGACAGTTGAGGGGACAAGGATCTCTTATGATTTAAGCATCCTTCCGCATGTTAGTGGGAGCTCTGTTCTTTGCCCTGAGGTGTTGTTCATGAGGACCTCCGCCTGCTCTTGGAGACTCACCTGCCAGCCAAAAAGAAGAAAGTACTCTTGGGGGTTGGGGACCCCAAGATTGGTGCTGCTATACAAGAGGAGTTAGGATACAACTGCCAGACTGGAGGTGTGATAGCCGAGATCCTGAGAGGTGAGACCACCCACTAACATTCTTTGGAGGGGTGGTAATTAGGTTTATTTTTTAACGGAGGTACTGGGGATTGAACCCAAGACCTTGCACATGCTAAGCATGTGCTCTACTGCTGAGCTATGCCCTTCCCCCCATCTAACATTGTTGACATTTTGGGGTAAGGGTCTTCCAGAACTTGTTAGGGTGCTTAAGGTTGCTTCTGAGAAGCCCTCCTGTTTGGCTGGTGCCCATGGGTGCAGGAGCTTGTTCAGAGTCCTTTTTCCTTGCTCACAGTCTTGCCTTCCTCCAGGAGTTCGTCTGCACTTCCACAACCTGGTGAAAGGTCTGACCGATTTGTCTGCTTGCAAAGCGCAGCTGGGGCTGGGGCACAGCTATTCTCGTGCCAAAGTTAAGTTTAATGTGAACCGGGTGGACAATATGATTATCCAGTCCATTAGCCTTCTGGACCAGCTGGATAAGGACATCAATACTTTCTCCATGCGTGTCAGGTAAAGTGCAGGGGCAGCCCCTGAGAAACAAGGTCTTTGGTCTGTGGTTTAGCTAATTCTGAATCCTGAGATCAGGACTGGCTCCTGTGGGTAGAACCTGTGGGGTAGGGCTGGGCCTCCTGGTGCTTACCACAGGCTGTGTTCTTACACCGACTGTATAGAAAGAGGAGGCAGAGTGAATCCACCCCATGTACACCTCAGCCCAGGCCCTTTGCCTGGTCTGTATTGTGAATGGGGGGACATGGAGTTAAGGTTTTGGATCTATCTTGTTCCCTTTCCTCCGGGCAAAGAGTAGGTATGGAGAGGGCTAGGCTGTAGCTTTATTTGAGACGTGGCAGCTGGGCCAGGGAGTGATTGTGGCTCGTTGCAGGGAGTGGTATGGGTATCATTTTCCCGAGCTGGTGAAGATCATCAATGACAATGCCACGTACTGCCGCCTTGCTCAGTTCATTGGAAATCGACGGGAGCTGAATGAAGAAAAGTTGGAGAAGCTGGAGGAGCTGACAATGGATGGGGCCAAGGCTAAGGCTATTCTGGATGCCTCGAGGTCCTCCATGGGTCAGTACAGAGCCTGGCAGCCAAAATAAGGTACGGGGCTCTGAATACCTGGCTCCTGCATTCACACTTGGTGTCCCTTAGGCATGGACATATCAGCCATTGACTTGATAAACATCGAGAGCTTCTCCAGTCGTGTGGTGTCTTTGTCAGAGTACCGCCAAAGCCTACACACTTATCTGCGATCCAAGATGAGCCAAGTAGCCCCCAGCCTGTCGGCCCTAATTGGGGAAGCGGTGCGTCACGGGGAACACGAAAATGGGGGATTAAAGAATTACCGTGCATATTCATACTGTTATACTTGCTGACCCGTCATATCTTCCCCAGTTGTACTTGATGGGGAGGAGGTGAAGCAGGATTACACAGTTGGTAGGTTGGCAGTTCCAATTCCTCTAATTCCTTGGCTCTTTCTCCAGGTAGGTGCACGTCTTATTGCTCACGCTGGCAGTCTCACCAACCTGGCCAAGTATCCAGCATCCACAGTGCAGATCCTTGGGGCTGAAAAGGCCCTGTTCAGGTACCAGTGAGGGCACCTGCCCACACTCAGGTGCCACTTCTGGTGCCCATTGCTTGTTTGGGGATCACGGTGATGGCTGACCAGGGCTCCCTGACCTATACAGGCCTCTGCTATGGGGGTGATGGCCAGTCCTGGTGTCTGAGTGATTCCCTGGGCCCAGCAAAGGGACCAAGTTTCCAGGTCAGCGACACCACTGGATGCCTTCCATCTGCCTCTGGGAGCTGTGGGTTGGCATGAGGTGGGGTAGAGACCCAACCTGGCCTGAGGCTCACTCTGGAAACTGGAGGGAGAAGGAAGGGGAGGCGCTGCCTTGGCTAACAGGGTTGAGATTTCTGATCTTAAACGTCTCCACTGAATATTCTTCTCCCAGAGCCCTGAAGACAAGGGGTAATACCCCAAAATATGGACTTATTTTCCACTCTACCTTCATTGGCCGAGCAGCCGCCAAGAACAAAGGCCGCATCTCCCGATACCTGGCAAACAAATGCAGCATTGCCTCACGAATTGATTGCTTCTCTGGTATGGGTTGGGGGGGTTGGCGGTTGGAGGGAGGGGAGGCCGACTACCTTAGCAGCTTCTACAATGATGGCGATATTTTTCGTCAACAGCAGTTCACCTAGTGAGTGTTGATACTCTGGGTCTGAGTGGAGCTGAAGGTAGAGGGAACACTGGAGGTGGGGACTCTTTTGTCACTTTGCAGCCTGACAGGCTTTGTTTACCCACATACACATACATCCAGAGGTGCCCACCAGTGTATTTGGGGAGAAGCTTCGAGAACAAGTCGAGGAGCGGCTGTCCTTCTATGAGACTGGAGAGATTCCACGAAAGAATCTGGATGTCATGAAGGAGGCGATGGTGCAGGTGAGTTTGAGCTTTGCTATGTGGGGGAGAAGCAATGCTGGCTGTTGGAGGTGATGAGCTCTCTTAGCCTGACCTTGCAGAGTGGAGGCAAAAAAACTGATTTAATGAGCCTGATCCAATAAAGCCAGGAGAAGCCCCAGAGCCAAGGTTCCTGAGAGCCTTTTCAGCACTTTTCTTTGGCCAGGCAGAGGAAGCCGCTGCCGAGATCACTAGGAAGTTGGAGAAACAGGAGAAGAAACGCTTGAAGAAGGAAAAGAAACGGCTGGCTGCAATGGCCCTGGCTTCTTCAGAGAACAGTAGTACTCCGGAGGAGTGTGAGGTCAGTAGGCAAGATTCTAGGTGTAGGATTTTCAACAGCAGAACAAAGGATATGCCACCTCAAGTCATGGTCTGGAGTGCAGGCTTTTGGACTGAAATAAGGACCTGAAACCTGAAACTATGTCTTGATTCTATACGAAGGATATAGGTGCTGAGAGAGCTCACTCAAGAGCCCAGGGAGCTGGTTGTAGCAGCACTGTTCCTTGGGCGAGTGTGTTCTGTCCTCTGCTGCCTCCCAGGAGTCCTCAACCAGGAGTAGTGTAAATTCCTGCTCCACTTGTTCTCAGATGTGTCCAGAGGTGGTAACATTTCATGGTGATGAGGGCAGGGAGGTCTCCAGTGAACCATTCTCCCTGGGCTTGTCACAGTACCCAATTTGCCAGTGTTCTGGGGTCCCCTCTGGAACCTTGCATGGTGGGGTTTTCTACTTGATGGGCTTAGGTCATTGTGTGTTCTCTCCACCCTCCAGGTTAGTCGGTGGGGGGCGGGGGGGCACTTCCAGGCCTATATCCATACAATTAAAAATCCTAGAAACAGTGGGCAATTTTAACACCACTTCCACAGTCTTTCTGCCCTGATTACTTACCAGCTGGAGTTTCAGTGGGGGGGGGGTGTTCATACAGTGAATGACACTGCTCCATGTGCGTTTTCCCCTTTCCCCCGTCAGGAGACAAGTGAAAAACCCAAAAAGAAGAAAAAGCAAAAGTCCCAGGAGGTTCCTCAGGAAAATGGAATGGAAGACCCATCTGTCTCTTTCTCCAAACCCAAGAAAAAGAAATCTTTTTCCAAGGAGGAGCTGGTTAGTAGTGATCTTGAAGAGACAGCTGGCAATGTAAGTCTTCCCAAGAGGAAGAAATCTTTCCCCAAAGAGGAACCGGTTAGCGACCTTGAAGAATCAGGAAATAAGAGTGTCCCCAAGAAAAAGAGGAAATTGTCCAAGGAGGAGACACTCAGCAGTGGACCTGAGGAGCCCGCTGTTGCCAAGAACAGTGGCTCCAAGAAAAAGAAAAAGCTCCGGAAGCTATCCCAGCAAGACTAGGATGGACATTTCCTGCAGAGTATTTCCCAGCCCATCCCCTATATCCCAGTAAATAAAAACAAGTTCAAAGTTCACAGTTGACATACCATGTTTTATTGAAAACACCTTACATGGGTGTGGGTGGGGCCTATGGGTAGGACAGGGCGCCAATAACAGCCTCAGTGAAGTCCTGGCAGGTGGCATAGCCACCCATGTCAGAAGTTCGAACCTGTAGGGGAGAATTGCAATCATCCCTGTGGCCTGAGCCCCACCCCTAACCCCACCACCACCTAACAGTCCCCTAAGGAAGCCAGCCCCAGACAACCTAGGCTCTGCCCATAAGGTGATTATGGTCTAGAGGTTTAAGGGCTCTTCTCTGGTCCACTGTACTGAAGGGAGGTGTGGTGTGGTCCTTGTGAGGTTGGAGGGAATAAAGGACTCTAGCCCCCATAGGGGTGCAGGTGGCCGATGACAGACTTGATGAAGTCGGTTGTGGTGCTGTAGCCGCCCATGTCTCGAGTCCGTACCTACAGCCACCACCGGCAACAGCCGTGGGGGAGAAGAGAAGAGAGCCCATGAAGGCGGAGGCAGGGCAGTGTGATGGAAATGGAATCCAAAGAGGGAAGACAAGGCCAGAAAGAAGCAATGCAGCAGAGACGCAAGGAGGCGGCCAGGTTTAGAAAAGCAGACCAGTCCACTCCTGTCTTCTGAGGGCCAGAGCCACTAGTGAGCCCCACTGCGGCCTGGGTGAGGTGGGAGGCCGAGCATGAGTGAGATGGGAGACGTAGATCAGAGCCGGGAGGAGGATGCCGAGGAGGAAACAAGACCAGGTAGGAGCAAAGATGGCAGGGAAATGGCAGATGAGGATGGGCTTCCAGGTGTGGAGAAAGTGACACTGGTGCCTCATCCTGCCAACTCTTCTCCCTCTGCTCCAACATCCCCCCAGAGGAAAAGCTGCAAGTTCTGCATTAAGATGGCCAATTAAAGAGCCAATGGATGGAGCAGGAAAGAGAAAATAGCAGGTGGGAACCAGGAGGCAGAGGAGACCAAGAGGATGAAACAGCCAAGAGAAGGGAAATGAACAGCCCTGATAAGAACGGGGCAAGATCAGAGAGCAGATGCTCTGGGGACCCGGAGGGAAAAGAGGCCCCAACTCAGGTTCCCCAGAAAGTAGTGCTGAGGCCCTAAACCCCACAGCCTTTCTAAACTCACCTTGCCAACTTTGATCACCTTCTTCACCGCATCTGCAATCATGTTGGAGTGATGCTCGAGACTGTCAATGTGCACAGAAAGAAACTGAGAATCCCCGCTCCGTCGTGCCCGATTTCCCAACCTGTGCTCCCTGGGACAACACCCAGAAGCCTCCCACCCACCAGGACCTACTTAAGGTGTCGCAGCATGTTGGAAGCTGACAGCAGCATGGCTGTGGGGTTGGCTATATTCCTGCCCACCGCCTGGGCAAATGGATGCCGGGCGCCCTGTGGAGAGAGGAGCAGCCCAGAGTCACTGGGAGCAGACATTCTGCAGAGACTGCAGTCAGGAAAGGGCATTAGAAGAAAGGTCAGAGGCACTGGGAAGATGCAAGGGCTGGGGACAGGAGCAGGCCAGGATCACAAAGGAAGGGGACACACTGGGGGCGAGCTATCAGGGGGACCTGAGGTCAGAAGAAGGGCACACAGAGGGCAGAGGTGACCTCACTCACCATCTCAAAGACTGCGTACTCTGCACTGTAGCTCTCCCCAGGGACCACACCAGCTCCCCCAACCAGGCCGGCTGCCAGATTGTCAATAATGTTCCCGTAGAGATTGGGCATCACCAACACATCAAATTGGTAAGGATTCTGCACCAGCTGGTGGGGAGGGGGGCAAAATGGTGGGCACAGAGAACAGAAGTTAAACCCCACTTGCTGCCCTCACTCAGCACTGAGAACACAGACAGGGGAGGCCTCACCTGCATGCAGCAGTTGTCTATGATCATTGTCTCGAACTTAATCTTGGGGTAGAGTTCAGCAACTTCCTCGCAGCACTGCAGGAACAACCCATCCCCGAGTTTCCTGTCCATGAGCCAAAGGGAACAGACTCAGCCAAGAACGTGCAGGGGGCTACCTTCCCAGGAACCCACCCCACACAAATCACATCCCTCACATGATATTGGCCTTGTGGACAGCTGTGACCTTGCTCCGCCCCTTCTTAGTGGCATAGTCAAAGGCGAACTTCGCTATCCGCTGAGATTTGGTTCGAGTGACAATCTTCAAGCACTCAATCACGCCCCTCGCACTCTGTGTAAGAGAGAGGCAACTAGGTGACACTGGAAAGGAGGCACAAAGGAGCTCCGCCTCTGTCCCACCTTCACCCCTGCCCTCACCTCGTGTTCCAGAGAGCTGTACTCCCCTTCTGTCTGCTCTCGAATGATCACCAAATCTAGATTGTTGTGTCGAGTCTTGTACCCAGGAAGTGACTTCACGTGGACTACATTGGCAAACAAGTCCAACTTACGCCTGGGGGTGGGGCAGAGTCATGAGCACTGTGCCTGGGGCCCCAGTACCCCCAGGGACCACGGGCCCTCCACCACCTACCTCAGCCGCATATCATAGGAAGCTAGTTCCCCCTTATACTCCATTGGGGTATGGATCTTTCCTGCATAAACAGAATCACAGGGGAGAGCTGTCAGTCACAGGTCAAGCCCAGGGGAACCCAGACTGGCAGCCAATCCCCTCAGTGACATAATGCAACCCAGACTCCCATCTCCCACTCCCAAACAAGTGGCTCTTAAGTGCCTCTGGAGACAAGGGGCAAAGGAGAGTAATATACTTAGAGTGAGAAATATTTTGTCCACTGTTTTATTTTTAGTTACTATATTTCTATGTTGAAACTTTAAAATGACCTAAAAGGGGAAAAATTTCTCGTGTTATCAAAGAGCCTGGGTTCAAGGCTGAGAAACAATGCTGGGGATCTGTGACCCTTCTGGATGTTTCTGTGTCTACTATTTGACATCTTTCCAACAAACACTGAGTATCGACCATCTGTCAGGCACTAGGGATAGTGATCAAAACACACAACACACAACTCCTGTCCTCAAGGGTCAAACAATGCTTTGGGGAAGACAGTTAATATGAAAGACATGATAAATACATGTGAAAGGTATTAACAACATGCCTAGGAGCACAGAGAAGAAATTCCCTCTGGTAACATCAGGCAGTATCATAGAACGGCTGGTACTTCAGCCAGAACTTAGGTTAAGTGAGTGTACTAGGTTGAATGGTGACCCCCAAAATGGTATGTTCATGGCCTAACCCCCAGAACCTGTAAATGTGACCTCATTTGGGAAAATAAGTGTCCACAGATATAATACGGATCTTGAGATGAAATCATACTGGATCCGGGTGGGTCCTAAATCCAATGGTAAGTCCTTATACAAGAAAAGGAGAAACAGATACACAGACACAGAGTGGAGAAAACCATAGAAGACGGAGGCAGAGATTGAAGTGATGCATCTACAAGCCAAGAAACACTGAGGAATGCCAGCAGCTGCCAGGAACCACCAGCAGCTGGAAGAGGCAAGGAAGGATTCTCCCCAAATCTTCAGAGGGAGCTCTGCCAACACTTTAATTTTGAGATGCTGGCTTCCAGAACTGTGAGAGAATAAATTTCTGCCATTTTAAGCCACCAGGTTTGTGATAATTTGTTACAGCAGCCCTAGGAAACTAACACAGGGAGGGAGGAAGGTTCTGGCAGGGGGCACCAAAAGGAGAACACTGTGGGCGGAAGGAAAAGCAGAAATCAAAATACATGTATTTGAAAACTAACACAGTCTGGTGGGACCAAAACACAGAACAAGTGTTGTAAAAATGAAGGCAGAAAGGCCAAGGGTCAGCTCATAAAGAACTTATTTTCCTACACTAAGGCTGGGCCTGGCAAAGTCATGCGGGTCTTTCCAAGAGAGGAGACGGAGAGAATGGACTGTAGGGGCAGAAGTGAAAGCCAAAAAAATCTAATGAGGCAATTACAGTAGGGAAGCAGAAAGAAAGACAAAAGAAAAGAGGCAGCTAGAAGTGGCATTCTAGAAACACAATTAGGACTTGATGGCTCACAATGTAGTCCCATGACAGACCCCAAATTCTTGGGGCCTTCCTGCGTAGACATGATCTCCCAACTCCTGGGTTCTCAAGGGAGAGGAACAAATGGCCACCAATCAGTGGTGGGAGCTAAGGAGAGTTATCGGATTAACATGTGCTGAGGAAAGCTTAATAAACTTTTATTCGTTAGATTTTAAATAATTCTTTCGGGATAGCAAGGTAGCACACATACCAATTATGGCCACTTTGTTCTCCTTCATGGAGCTCAGCACCTGCTCCAGCTTCTCCTCAGATGCCATATTCTGCACCTCGCTCAGGTGATGTTCCTGGAACTCCACTGGGACAGAGGCAGCCTTCAGGGACAGGTGCCAAAAATCACAGTCAGGATCGAATTAAGCCCTTTCCAGCCCACACCATCGTCCCTGCTGGCTGATTCCTCCAGGGCACTCACCTTGAAAACCTCCTTGACAGCGTGCATCAGCTCAGGCCCCACGCCGTCTCCAGGCAGCATAGTCACGGGAAAGGCGCCCTCCACCCTCACGTCCTCAGCCTGCGAGCGGAGCCAGCAGAGAAAGAGCTGGGGCGGGGGCAGGCGTGCTGGGGGGGAGGGAACGGGACGGGGAGGCGGGGTAGAGGCCAGAAAAGGAGGAGTGAGGGGCGTGGGCGAGACTGGAGCCCAACTTGCGATTACCTGGCTGCGCGAGGCGGCTTGCGCCACGGCCGAGGTGCACAGGCTCCTCCATGCTCCGGGGTTCGGGGCAGCGACCAGCGCCTACGACAAACACATAAGCCTGTGAGGTCGGGTCTGGACTCCTCAGATCCCGAAAACTTTTCTGAGCCCGGTACAGACCCGCCGCTCTCCCGCCCGCCCCGGCGTGCCCCGACCCTCACCCGGGTCAGCCAGCGGACGCCTGTGACGGCCGCCATGTCCTCCGCGGGAAGTCGCGTGGGAAGTGACGCTGGAAGCCGGCGCGGCCGGGGACCTCTATTTCCGGTCCGGCGCGGGTGCGCGCGCTTCTCTCTTTCC